ACATTGCGCTATGAAAACCGTTAACTTGATGAAGCGAACAGGGCGAGTAATTTTGGTGGCATTTTCAGCTCTACTAGGAATAGTAAAGTCAAAGTTCAATTTATAAGAAGAATACTGTACGGATCTGCAGCTTTTACTTTACTTTGACTGAGAAAATATCACGAAATTTTGCCTTATCGCTCTCCTCCTTTATTTTCATCTTCATCGTTGCGATTTGTACGTTTATGCTCTTGTAATATTTTACTTTACTCAGGAGTAGAGTTTTATTTGCAGTTCGGTTGCTAAGATTAGAATGTTTCGCGATATAGAAGATCTGGAAGCTCAGTACGACAGGGATGACTCGATGCAAGAGCCAAAAAGGAAAAAAGAGAAAACTGGTTCTCGTAAGCGAGACCGGGAGAAGGTTATCGCGTTTCTTTTGTCAAGCAGGGATTCATATTTAGGTTAAAATTACTGTCGTTATATTTTTTCATTCAGTCAAACGTTACTTTGTTTAATTTTAGGCAGAGTTTGGGCTTGCCGGCATGAAAGTTGGACATTCTAAAGAGAAATTTTTAGAGGGTCAGGAGACTATCCTTGTTTTGGAGGATCGAGGTTAGTTATGCGTGACTCCTGATTTTTATGGTGTCTTTTGAACATTTTAATTAAGCTAGTTTTCAGGAGTTTACATAATTGATATATTTTAATTTGCTCATTGGTTTTTATAAATTTTAAATAACATTACCTAGTCACGAAAACACAACTTGTTTTTTGTGCAACCCTTCATCATAGTATAAATTTTATGACTGCATGTGAATGAAGTACGAGAAAAACTGTTATAGAAACTTTGCTGTAATAATTCATAACTTTTCACGGTACTTCTGTTTTAATAATTTTAACTGCTTATATTTTTTTTGGTCATGAACTCTGTTCTTCACTTTTTTCTTTTTCTTGTTATGCTTTACAGATCAGTTTCAAGCCACTCGAGTAACTTCTTTTAACATTATCTTTTAGATATTCTGGCCGATGAGGAAGACATTTTGATCAACCCAAACTTAGTAGATGACAAGCGTTATCAAAAAAACGTTGAATTGCGTAAAAGGAAAAGCCGCTATGAACCATATGCTGAAGAGATGGATGAATTTGGCATGGTTAATGCTTTAGAATTGTTATTTAGGCTATTTCCTGTGACTTTTTCGTAACTTTGCAGTTTCAGCCTAAAGAGAAGGGCCTGTTGTCGAAATATGACGAGGAGATAGATGGAGAAGAGAAAGAAGGATTTAGGCTTGGTAACTTCATTTTTTGAGAACTTTTAAGTTTCAGTGAGGTACCCTGTTACTGTTTTGATAATATTTTTCAGATGAAACTGGAGGGATTGATGTGGAAAAAGAACGTCAGGAAATGGAGATTAGGCGAAATTTAATGATGGCAAATAAAAAATTGGTGTCTTTGGAAATGCCTCAATATAAATTGGCTACGGATTTTTACACTCAGGTTTAGAAACAGTATACTTGTTTTAATCTACCATTTCAATTAATATTTGTGGAACTGAGTTAAAGCCACGCTAAGTTAATTTTTTTCATTCAGTAACATGAGTTAGTAGTTTTTAGGAAGAGATGATTGCGTTTCGTAAACCAAAGAAGAAGAAAGACGGTTTGAAATTAAGGAAGAAGAAAGTGAAGGTTCTAAAGGCGGATGATTTATTACCCGATAGTGTTCCGGAAGAGGATGCTGCTAAGCGGTTTGTTATTAATCATTGAAAGGTTTTTTGGTGTCTAATTCAAACCAACCAGCTGGGTATTTGCTTGTTTATTTAATTTTTACTATCTAGTGAAGGTGGAAGTTTTTATTACTAAAAGACATAACTAAAACATTTCTCTGAGCTTAGAAGTTGGTGAACAATGATACGAATCAGTAATGAAAAAAATTACGAAGAAAAGAACATGATTACCTGCCTAGCCTATCTTTTTTTGTAGAGGAATAGCATTGTCTGAAGAAGGACAAATGATTCCTAGAAGGTTGACAAAAGTACCATTGGGAGTCAGAAGAGGTGGTTGGTTTCAAAAATTAACTTTCAAAACAGCGGGTGATTGACACATTGCTGAGCTTTTGCAGCGAGGTTGAAGTCTGAATACCAAGGTGGTACATTTCATAAAGACAGTTTTGATCTAGGAAAAAACACTTTGTTGTTTTTTTTTTTTTTT